AAAGGAACTCTAAGTTTCAGTTTTACTTTGGTTACTGCTGCTGCAGTTTGTCCAGAAAGGTCAACATAAACTCCTGGAACGTTAGGGTCAAGTCTTCTTATTTTCTCAATAGTTGCATACTGGTCTGTTTGTTCTCTAGCTTGTGGTTGTACTGAGTTTCTCAAAGCGAACCATTCATAGTTTGCCCATGTTACTGTTTGAACTAAGTCAGAGTTAGAATATATCTTATATCCATGAAAACTTCTGGAGCATATTGGTATCCGACATAGAAAATTCCATTGCAACCTTTCTTGTCAGACAACTTGGCAGAAGGTTTTATTTCAATGTCTTGTTCCACGTATAAGAAAGAGTTGTCAATAGAAATAATATGAAACCTGTCGCAAGCAATATCTACTGTTGTTGAAGAACCTTCTCCAAACTCACCTACGTTTCCATAAGAAACAGCAGTTGTATATTCGTAAGTTCCAGGAACTATTTCTGACCTTCTAATGGCATTGTCGCATTCGTTATACCATTCGGAAACATTTCCATTCATGGCATCCAAAACTGTTGGCGTTATATTCTGAGCGGCGTACATTTCATATGGGTAAAAATATAGAATAGTTGGATTTATATGTCATAATAGAACCCACGTGGACCAGGCTTTACTTTCTTCCTGACTGAATCTTTAACTCTTCTTTTTCCTTCATTGCCACTACTTTCACTAGATGAAGTTACTTCTTCACTACTTTCACTTTGTTCTACTCTTCTCTTCTTTCTTGGTGTCGCTTTTGGTAACTTGCCCTCTGCTTCAAGTTGTTGCATCTTTGCCTCATGTTCACCTAGTATGTTGTAAATTTCCCATGTCCTTTTTGCCTTTGGGCTCTGGTCGCCCATCTCAGGTAACCTATATCCTAGAAAGAGTTTGTCATAGTTTTGTATTTGAGTCTTCGCGTATTGTTTGCATGACTCTTTCCTGAGTTTCCGGTTCAAGCTCTTCAAACAGAGCTTGTCCATATGGAATAAGCTCGTTTCCAAATATATGTTTTTGTAGCCATTCTGGTTTTCTTTCCATGTTACCAACAATATCTTTAATGGGAACTTTTACCCAATCTTTCAGTCTTGCGTCATTTATTTCTGTAGTTGGTTTTATTTTGTCAAGGAACATGTTTTTCAATACTAACATTTCATTTGGTACTGTCCATTTGAGTTTTCTTAAATATTCATCCCTTCTCGGTTCATTGTCTGCAAAGTAAGTTTTTATGACATTTTGCAAACTTTCGTTTGCAAGGTCATGTACAATAGGTTCTCTTCCTTCTCTCTCCTAACTTTCTTTCTAAACTCTTCACCAAATATACCATCTCTATGGTTCTGTGTAGTTCTTTGAGATAAATGTTCTAGAACGTCAGGTGTTATATTTCCATCAGCCATGTTCATTTCATACTGGTCCAAAATATCTGCATGTTTCATATCTTTCAATGGCATTAAAGCCGCGCTGAAAATACCAGCTATATCTGGTTCACCATTCACTTCCATTGCGTCTACAACTTCTTGGAATTGAGGTTGTAAGTTTATGAACCACCTATCCGGATTAGCTTTATGACCCCATCTCATTGTAGTTCCATAGTCTGCAGAAACAAAAGTAGGTTTGTTTCCATCTTGGTTAGGTTCTGAATGAACTTTAAACAATGTTTCATTTCTATATGTTTTCTTGAAATTTAACCTTTTATTTTCACCGAGTTCATCCAAAGATTGAACGTTAAATGCTCGTAAGTAAAAAGGGTTGTTGTATTTGTGTACATTTTCTTTCAGTACTTCCATTCTATGCTGAATATTTTCATCTGGTGTTGGAGTCTTTTGTATGTCGGCAAACATTTTTCGATATTCTTCTACTGTGTCAGCCGAATTTTTTTTAGACTCTTGGAAATCTTCCATATTCTTCACATACACTTGTTGAGGGTCAAGATTTTCCGGCTGTTCCAAATCTTCATCTAGTTCTGTGAAGTTAGTTTCCAAAGGAGGGACTTGTTCGTTTCCTTCAGGCTCTTCTAGCTGTTGTTGCTGAACTATTTCTTCCATGTCTGGTTGTATCTGAACTTCTTCCTGTGGAGTTTCTTGTACCTCATCTGCTGGCATTTCATATATTCCGAGACCGTTTTCAACAATTTCCCTATCTACGTCATCCGCATTCATAAGCCTTTCTTCTTTCGTTCCGTCTCTATTTTTTACGCGTTTCATGACGAAAGTTGTATTGTCATTTAGCTCTGACATCAAATATCTCGGAGTAAATTCGTTCATGTCATTTGGATGATATGCTATTAAATCATATCCCTTAGCGAGCTTGTATTTTCCAGGTTTGAGATTATATCCTTTTTGGTGCTGAGCCATAAAGCTAAATAGGTTCGGGTCAGTATTTCCATCCTTGAACTTTCTAATAGCTTCTTTATATCTGTCACTAAAGTCAACAGTATCTGGGAAACCACACTTTTCTTTAAGCATTTTTAAGAATTCTTGGTTTCCTTGTTCTCTACTTCTTTTATGTCCTTGCTCTGTTTGTGGAGGTGGTTGTTGTGCAGGGTTTTGAACTGTTGGTTGCTGTGCTGGTTGTGTAGGTGGTTGTTGTGCTGGATTTTGAACTGTTGGTTGCTGTGCTGGATTTTGAACTGTTGGTTTTGGTTGTTGTGGTGGTGCTGGATTTTGAACTGTTGGTTGTTGTTTTGGTGCATGCCTGTGTCTGTGTCCATGTGACGATGTAAATGTTTTAGGTAGTCCTGGTGCAGGTGCTTCTCTTGGAGGGTTTGGTGGTATATAAGTTCCACTAGCTAGTATATAAGTTCCACCAGCTGGTATATAAGTTCCACCAGCTGGCACATATGTTCCATCTGCAGCATAATGTCCTACCTGACTTTTCGTTTTTAAGAAAGCATTTACTAGGTCTGTTTTGGTCTGTTGTAACTCTTTTTCTTGACTTTCCACAACAGTTGCTCTAACGGCGTCATAGGCACTTTGAACTGCCTGTCTCGTTGCTGCATCTGTTATTTTCGTCATATTTTGTGCTACTTCTCTTAACTCTTTGTCGAAACCTTCAGACTTCAGTTTCTTTCCAGATGAGAAGTCGTTCACATAGTTTCACCTTACTATGAAGAGCTTCGAAGGCATTCTTAAAGTCAGCATTCATTAAAGCTTCATTTGAACTGTCTTCATCCGCTTGTATTTTTGTCCTTATTGACCCTATAAGTTGGGCTGCTTTAGCGTTGGCTTGGGCATCTAACCAGTCATTATTAGCTTTTATATATTCTGCGCTTTTCATTGCCTTTTGCATGGCTGCGTCGTTATTTTTACTTTCTTGTGCTAAGTTTTCATACTGTACGGTTTGGTTTTGCAACTGTAAAAGTTTTTCTGCCTTTACATTTGCTTCAACTTCTTTTTTATACTCATCGCTATCCATATATGTCTTCAGGGCTTTTTGTTTTATTTCTTCATCTTTCAGTACTTTATATTGAGTAGTATGGTTTTTCAAATTTATAACATCTTGTTCCATTTTTGCTACTTCTGCTGCTTTTTCTGACACTTTTTTCGCATATTCCTCTGTACCTAGTTCTTTCAGTTGTTCTTCTTTCTTCTTTTTCTCTACGTTTAACTCATTGAGTTTCTTTGTGTGTCTGTCATATTCTAGTTTCTTTTCGTTTTCACTTATTTGTTTCTGTATGTCTATGTTTGACTTTTTGACATCTGTTATTTGATTTTTGAGTGAACTCAAATTCATTTGACTTTGAGGGTTATAAGCTGTTCCGTCTGCAGCTCCACCATAGCCTGCCATTTTCGCTAAAAGTGCCGCTCTTAAACCTCCACTCTGTGCACCAATAACTCGGTTTAAAAGCATAGGGTTGCTTGACATTTGTTGCAACATAGTGGGGTCATTCATCATTTGTTGTTGCAACTGTTGTTGTGGTGTTAGTTTTACTATTGGATGTTTCAATGCTCCCTTCCTCTTACGTATATTCTTACGTAGCTTACGTGGCATTTTAAGTGAAGTTAAAAAGCGGTTTTTGACAGATGTTTATATGACACTTTTTGTTCAGCACAAAAAACTACTCGGTCAAAGTGTTGTCGGTTTTGTAAAATAACCGTCCTATCTCATTCTATAAGGGAAAAAGGCTTCTCAAAGTATACTTCCTTGGAACGCCTGTAACTTTTCCTGTAGCGACGATAGACCCTTACTTGTCCGGACAAAGTTATACTATTTTGAGTGCTCTACAAAAAAGTCAATAGCTGGTCGGCTGGGGTTCGGTCCTCCTCTTGGGTCTTGGGAAAAATTTCTTATGGGCTAGAGGGCGCAACGCGCCTGGAAGCCCTCCGAATAAGAACTTCATTTATGTGGGCTAGAAGGGGCGCAGCCCCTGGAAGGCCACCCCAAGAAAAAAAAAAACTTCATTATACCAATCATCTTCAGGGCTAGAAGGCACGAAGTGCCTGGAAGCCCCACTCCCTTTTTTTTTTTTTTTTTTTTTTTTCATACAATAAAATTTTAAAAACTCTATTTGTTCACAAGAAAATTTTTTCCCTTCATATGAAGAAACATTTTGTTCTCCATTTGATGCTGAGTCTAAATCTCGATTTTTGATTTTTCTTCTTTCCAAATTTCTTTTTTCCAAATTAGAAGTTTAATTCAAATTTTCAATAGTTTATATATTTTCTCAAACCGTCTTAGATTTTCTCACTTTTTAGGGATTTTCTCTCAAAATATACAAAAATAGTAATATCAATACATGTGTCTAATATACTTTAAAACCATCGTGATAAAATTCAAAAACGAAGAGTTCTTCTCTCCAAATTTTTTTTAAAATCAAAAAAATGAGATAAAAAAGCACGTTTGGAAAATTCATTTTTAGCATTTTAGGAATTTTCTCACTTTTCTTCCAAATTGACATCCTTAAGAAATGCTTTAAAGTTCATGTGATTAGACTTAATTTTAAAAAGAAATTTAATCGCAGAATAGAAATAAAGTTTATTCCTTAAATTTACATATAATACACTGCTGCTACCATCAGCTTAAATGGATCTACTGTTTTCTCCTGAACTTCTAATGTTCCATGCTTAGGATATCTTGAATCCTTCGGAATAGCTGTTGGTGCAAATGTTTGCTCTGCCGTAGCAAATGCTGTTGGAAATGCAGTTCTTGGAAGGAGATCAGGTGGGTCAACAGAAGGAGTATTTGAGCAGTCATAGCCAATAGATGACGCTGGAGTTCCGGAATTTGTAACATATGTGATATAACTTTGGTTAGTATTAACATAGCAAAAGCGAACAATGTTATTGCATAAAATAAAAGTGCTATAGTTCACCCAAACATCAATGGGTAACTTGACATTTTTCAATGAAGTCATATTATAGAAAGAGTATTCTGAGATAATTGTGATTTGCGAATCAGGGAAAACAAGATTTTGTAAATTATGTCTGTTAAAGAAAGCAAATGACTGTATAGTTTCCGTAAGAGGTGAGATTATTGTTGATTCTTGATCATTTTCTGGAAGACAAACAATCAATGTTTTATAGTCTTTTGTATACAAATATCCATCAGATTTAACAAAATTGTTGTTACTTATCAATTCTATATGTTGAATGTTAGGGAAAGTCAGTTCAATCACGCTCTGACAGTTAACCCAACCGAATGTATCTGGCCTTATCTCAGCAAGTTTTGATGCACTTTCGATGTATATTCTCTTCAATGTCTTTATGACTCCAAAGAAGCCAATGCTGACAACTGAGTTAGGAATCTTAAATGTTTCTATGGATGTATTGTGAAGACATCTTTCAGAAAGAACTGAAATTGAATCTGGTAAGGAGATAGAAGTCACACTGTGACACTGTGAAAACATTTCTTTACCGAGGGATGTAATTCTGTCTGCAAGAGTTATACTAGATAATTTAACACATCCATCGAAAATGCCTTTTCCATTGAATTGACTGTTTGGACCGTTAAATGTTACATACTTAATTTTTTCACAGAAAAGAAAGATACGTTCACCTAGTGTCACATTGCTAATGAATGTAATACTTTCAAGTGAATTGCATCGACTGAATGCATAATTTTCTACAGATGTTACTGAGTCAAAATTAATCTTTTTCAAATCAATACATAGCGCGAACGCCAGTGATTTTATTGTTTTAACTGAACTTGGCAATCTAACAACTTCAATTCCTCGGCATGAATAAAAAGATCTTGATCCAATTGTGTCAATATTATCTCTGATTGTTATCGTCTGATTTCCAATTGCCTGATCATAAAGTTTATCTGGAATAGCTGTCATGAATTGAGGAATTTCAACATGGACAAAATGAGGAATTTGAAGAAGGAATGGTTCAGTAAAAGAATATCTCCTGTTTGTGAAATCTATATTCGTTACAGCTGAGTCAGCAAATAAGCCTGAATTAAAGTTAATTACATTACTTCCCTCAAAAACAACCTTGGTTATATAAGAAATAGAAGAGAAATATCCACGAATTTGTATAATACTATCTGTAAATCCTAAAACTGTTGTACTAGAAGTAATTGAAATTTCCAGATTTTGTGTTTCAACTGTGCCAGAATTAGATGATGATGACGATGAAGAGCTTTCAAATATGAAAACTTCATTTACTTGAGGCATTTTAGAATATGCTTGTGATTTCGAAATATAAATTCGTTTCATTTCTGGTGGATTGGTTACTGACTTATAATTATATACGAAAACTGATTCGAATGTGATTGGTTGTTGTTGAAAATTGATACTTGGATTTGTTGATGAAAAAGAACCTAATGTCAGCATTTTAACATAGAAATCCTTTATGTTAAATGCATATGATACAATATGACATGAAAAATCAATTTGAAGAATATCACGTTGACCGAAATATCTGATTACATAGTTAGCAGATTGAGTTGATGGATTAAAGCTACCATCTGGTGAGTACAATAGCATTTTGGCATTACAAACTCAAGATCTACAAATGAATTAAAGCCGTTTGTAGAAATCGAGGTTAACGTGGCTGGGAGGTCGATTATTTTTACTTTGTTAATACCAGAAAGAGTTTGAATTGATGTTGTCCCTACAAAAGTAAGCTGTCTTAGGTTAACATTATTAAAAGTATTAGAATCAACTGTGAGAACACTGGCTATCAATATATCTTGATCTATATTTTCATATGTATATTGGATGGTAAATTGAAAAAGGAAAGGAATGAAGAAAGTTAGCATTTTATTTTGTTAGAAAGAAAATTGAATGATTATTAAAAATTCTAGCGTATCGTATAATATACTGTTTTATAAAGTACCATGTTAAAATAAGAAAAATTATCTTTGAAAATTAATGAAATTTAATTTTTTTCAGAATGTTAAAATATATATATAAAATTTGCTGTATATTGAAATATATGTGTGATTAAATCATGCTAAAAATCGTTTTTTTTTCACAATTCATAACATACTCTTAAAATTTATACATCAATAAATGTAGAATATCATTAAATCATATATGTTTGTTCGTCAATAAAACTCAAAGAATCGCTGTCTCTGAATTTTAATCTTAAGAGAATTCAATTTCAATAAGGTTATTTTTGAAACATTATAGAATTACTTTAGGTAATAAAATCGAGTGAAAAAGCGATTATAATATAATTCCCAATATTCTTATACTTTTGAATATATGGCGAAAAGTGAAAAAATGAAGATAACTACGAATAATTTGGATACATTTTGTACATTTGTGTTATAATCCATTTTAATACGAATAATTTAAGGTTATTATCGCCACAATGATTTTCTTAGATAACTTAAACCAAGAGTTGACCAAATATTTTATAATTTCATAGTAATTTATTAATGATTTCACCAATTTTTAGAATTCCCAATTTGATGGGCTTCAAAAACTTCTATTACTGTTTGTTGAACCGTATATATCAATCGATTTTGTAATCAGAAATAGACTCTAAACTTGTTTTCATTTGAGTTATTACTGACTCAATTTGATACTTTGTAGAGATACTAAAGTAAATACTGCACAATATTAATTGCATTATTTTTATTCTATCTTAACATTTCCATTTTTAGAAATGTGCCCAATAATACTTACATCATCGTCATCATCATGGAAAGAAACAAATTCTTCATCGCGAGCATCCTCACCTGCTACATCTCCAAGAAGTTCAAATTGGTTAATTGCAATGCAAGGAGGATCCCCAGGGCAGGCTTCTTCTTGGAAGAATCTTACGTATTTTGCTGTATATTCCTTGTCAAGTTTATATGTTTTCTCTTTACATCTTCTCATTTCTCTATCTTTTTCTACAGAATGTACTTTAGTCCATGTTTTATTATCATCTGAAATTTGGAGAGACCAAGAATAAAGGCAGCATTCAATGCAGTAGTGATAAAAATCATCTTCACAACAGCAGCCATTTCTGTAACAACAACCGCTTCGTACGAAATATCCATTAAATTTAAAGAGTTTGTTCTTTAATGAAAATGTAATATAAGGATGCTCTTCATATGTATGGGCACAGTTTGAACACCAATCGTATGATTTTGTCCAAGGGTAAATGGCGTATTCAGGCTGAGTCATTTGCATAGAGCCATTTATCAGTTGTTTTGATGATCCACTAGCTTCAATTAATATAATTTTATCATCAAATATTTTTTTGAATATCCCACTTACGGATTCACTTCTAATAAAAGGTGAAAAGAAAATAAACATATAACAACAAAAAAGTGACACACAAAAATAGGATGCTGTTGAGTTTGATAGGGGAAAAAATAGATTTGGACAGCCGTAGCATATTCAAAGTAGCTTACAGTGAAAAAATTATCAAAATAGAAGTCAGCGGGTCATCAAAACAGTATATTAATGGCTCTAAAAAGATGACTCAACCTGAATATGCCATTTACCCATGGGATAAAAACTATGATTGGTGTTCAAACTGTTATCATGAGTATTCCAAAAAGCCCTGGATTACATTTTCTTTAATTAACAAACAATTCAAATTTAACGGATATTTTGTTAGAAATGGCTGCTGCTATTACAATGGGTGTTGCTGTGATGATGATTTCTATGGATGCATCGATTGTTATATGTATTCTTGGTCTTTACAAATCTCAAATGACAATAAGACATGGACCACAGTTCATCAGATAGAGAAAGATAGTGATAAAGATAATTGCAAGAGTCGAGAATACAAGTTTGATAAAACATATACTGCGAGATACGTTAGATTAATACAAGATGCCCCATTCCCAGGATATCCTCCATGCTTTGCAATAAATCGATTTGACTTATTTGGAACAATTGTAAATGATGATGGTTCTCTTTCAGATGGAAATGCTGATGATTTCGTATCTTACCACGATGATGATGACGATGTAAGCATTATCGGACATATATCTAAAAACGGAAATGCAAAATTTGACTAAAAAATCTAAAGAATTACTGAATTAATTAATGCATTTATAATTTTTTTTAATTAATCCTTTGTATGCTTCTTACTGGGTTTTGTTATGCAGTTTAGACTTTTTGTTGCTGAAATAATGAAATATTTGGAATCTTTCAATAACTCCAAAGACGAAAATTGAAATGATATTTTCACTAAAATCATCAAACACATTTTAATTAATTTTTATAAAAAAAAGGGGCTTCATTACATTTTAAAAAGGTGACAAAAAATGATTTCATTTTTGCTTTCAGTATCAACTTCGAGTCCTGATAAAAAAGGAATATTTAACAAAGTCTATAATGATAAAATAGTAATTATTGATGCCAGTGGATCATCGAGACAGTACATTAACGGTTCAAAGCAGCTAACTAAACCCGAATACGCAATTTATCCATGGGATAAACGCTACGATTGGTGTTCCAACTGTGGGCATTCATACGAAGAACATCCATTTATTCAATTCTCTTTGAAAGACCGAAAATTCAGTTTCAACGGATATTTTATTCGATGCGGCTGCTGCTACGACGATGGATGCTGCTGTGACGACGAATATTATGGCAGGTGCTTCGATTGCTGCCTATACTCCTGGTCATTACAGATCTCAGACGACAATAAAACATGGAAAACGGTTCATAAAATTGAAAAAGACAATGAGATGAGGTATTGCAACGAGAAAGAATATAAATTAGATAATACTTATACTGGAAAATACGTACGGCTTATACAGAACGATGCCTGCCCTGGATATCCTCCTTGCATCGCTATTAACAAATTTGATTTGTACGGAGATGTTATTGGCGTAGAATCAAAAGATGAAGACTTCGTTTCATATCATGATGACGATGATGACGTAAGTATTATTGGCCATATTTCGAAGAATGGAAATGTAAAGATTGAATAAACCATTTAAGTGATTCACCAAATAGAAAATAATGCAGAGAATGCATATATTTGTTGTATAGCTGGATTATAATTTAAAATAAGAAATTTAAAATAATTTCTGTCTTTTTCCAAATCTTATCGACACAAACCGCGCTTTTTAAATAAATACCATCTCCGATAAAACACGTTTTGCTGATTCCATCGAATAAATTTTTGTTTTTCTGAACATCTGTGAAAATATTTTTAATTTTTATAAAAAATTTATAGTGAATTTATACAGATACATGATGTTAAATCATAATTTATATCTTTGATGATCCAACGTTAATTTGATGAAATGTGAGTAGGCTCGACTGTGAGATTTTAACAAAGGCTACTGGTTTTTTAAGTTATCATTTAATAATAATAATTAACTTGATCACTTTTTGTTAAATACCCAATCGTTAATTTTCTTTCAATTTTCTGACAGTTACATTAGATAAAATCAAATTCAATATATCTATCTATACTTTATAGTGCTCAATCGAACTCTTATTAATTGAAAACTATTCAATATAGAATACCATTCAAACTTATTTGGTCATCCGTATTAATCGGTTAATATTTTTGCAATCATTTCCTTTCTAATTTTAATATAGTTTCTTGAAATTCAAAGAATTATTTAAAACACTATAATATCACATATTAAATTAAATTGAGCTTTTTCGCATTTTATACATTTTATCATTTTCAATAATATTCAATTTTTTATTAATTGAATTTACTATTTTTACATTTAAATGCTTTTTTTTCTTCCTAAATCTCATTCAATCAAACATTTTTACAGTCAATCAGATAGATGAAGAAAACAGTAGATTTCAGCCTTTATACGATGAAAATCCGATCACGAAATTCGGAATTAAATCCGAGATTTATGCTGTAGACAGCACGCTTGGATATAATATATCCGATAGCGAAGAATTATTCTATAAAGGTATTGGTCTTAAAACAGAAGTCACATTTCCTGAGACCGAGAATTCAATTTATTTAGATTTTGTCTTTCAGAGTAATTATACTCGAGATCGACAATTTTCATTTTATGTTTATGGAGAAGCTCCATTTTCGAACGATTTTAACACAGAAATTAAACATTAGCTGGAAATCAAGGATACACGTATAAAGAGCGCAATTCAAACAGGAATATAGTAATTGTTGCCGACAAAAGTACACCATCCAACTATGTCTATCATGACATTTATGGCGAGAGTTTTGATGAAAGTATTAGAAGATACGCTTCAAAAACTTCTAGATTTCATCATTTATTACTCTCAAATATATCAAGTTGGGTATTGGGTTGGGAATATAACACACTTGAACCATATCAAACAATGAAAATTAGATTAATAATTTCTGATGACACAAAGTTAGAGCCAACACCAACAATTTCAGTTGATAGAATCATTGCTGATCCTAAAGAATTGTTCCCGATTACAGTTACTCCAACAAAAAGCAATACTTTATATACAATTGCAAGTTACAGTATTGACGAATATAGCGGATACAGGTATATCCATGGTAATTTCACATCTAAGGAAGCGGGAGTTCCAGAAACGATTAACATCACGTTTGATCGCAATCAGAATTATCTTATCAGGGGCATCTATGTGTATTCAGAATTTTCAGCGGTTTCAGAACCAGTTTATATAACAATTGTTTCACCACCACAATCATATTATATCGAAAGTGGATCCATGACTTTGAAATTTAGTACCAATAGTAGTAATCAGTATATTTATTGCATATTTAATGATGCCTATGAAGACAGAATTTATTCGTATTACTATCAGGAGAATGGTGTTTACACTATATCATTTAATATTCCAACTCACCGTAGTTATATTAATAATGGTGAAAATACGGTCAGATTATATATTTCAGGCATGAACACTGAAATAAAGAGCTTCACAATCAATGTTGACTACTACCATCAACTTGAATTATCATCGTCCGTGCAATCCAACACATTCTCAACCAAAAAACCAATGAATGTAACTGTGAATTTGACAATTATGAGTTCACCAAATAACATGATTACTCTTAGTCATTATCGTTATATGCGCTATCAAGAAGTATATACAGAGCTGGCAAATTTCACTACAACTGATTCTAACGGTAAATTTCAATATCAATATACTATTAATATCGATCCATCCACACGTGAATTTGGTATATATGAGTCAGAAGGATTTCAAGTTAAGGATATATATGGATCTGCCCGTTCCATTAGTGTTACTATATATATTCAACCACCATCCTTAGATTTATATGGTTATGGAAGTGGTTATAACATTGCTGCAGAAAGAGGAGCATATTTCAACTTCAGCGGCCAATTAGATGGCTATACACCGAACACAGTATTCAATATTGCATATGGTAGAACTAATTCTGAAAACGTGATAAATTACTATTCCAGAAAACTGAATGAAGAAAACCAGGAAATGACAGATAGTTATATCAAATCCCAACAACGGAGGCTGGTTAAACAAAGTGAATATCCATATGATATCTCTGGATTCTTACAACAATTTGAATCGTATCCTTGCCCTGAAACACGCGAACCAATAGAATACACAACTTTATCTAATCCTGTTACAATCGATGATTCCTACAAATCAGAATATTTCAATATATCTGACCAAATAAGTCAAGAGTCGTCTGAATATGAAGTGTATTTTGTCAATGCGACATCTCAAGACGGAAGCATATCAACGTGCCGAAGTTTTTATGTTAATGTCCAAACAAAACCAGAAATTTTTAGTGCTACATTACTTAATGATGTTGTTACAATTGGACAACCATTACAATTCAATATTTCCTATAATTCATCCAATTCCGTGAATTTAGAAATGAGTTTTAATAACTCATTATTTAGTTATGCTTATAGTCGTTCTTCTAATGGACTTTTTTATGTGGAATTCCCAATAATTCCGTTAGCTGGCCTTAATAATTACACAGTAAATTTCGAGGGAGAATATTCAGTCGAAGAAATTATCAGACACATAACTCCAGGCAATTATGATCTTAAAATCAGACTAACATCCAGTGCTCTAATTAAATCTAATGAAGTTCAGCTTAGACTAACAGTGTCAGATCAAATTCTTCCATACTTCGAAGTTTACTTTTATTCAGATGAAATGACTTTTCCAATAGGATTAATTGAGATGAATTGTGGCCTTGTTAAACTTCTCCCATGCAATGTAACAATACATGGCTCGTGGAATGGACAAGAACCATTCACAATCCAAACAATTAACTTATATGAAATGCAGCGATTTTATGATCCAGTATATTTCAATTCTCCTAAAGAAGAAGGTCAGTACACATTAGATTTATGGTTAACAACAGATACAGGGTATAAATCCATTAAAAATCTAACATACACAATGGAATTCCTCGAACAAGAAACTCCAACTGATGGAACACCTATAGGAACAGATGTTGAAACGCCTATAGGAACAGATGCTGAAGAGAACCCAGAACCAACACCTGTTCCAACTCCACTCCCGTCTCCAACTCCATATATAAATTGTCGAACTGTTCCAAGTAGCATGCGTGCTGATGCAGCTCTTTTATTCTCATGTGATGTTAAAGGACTTGAAATTAATGAAATAATCACCTTAATTACAGTTTTTTCAGGAGATAATGGTGATGTTTATTATAAAAACTTCACAGATCCAGACCTCAAATCTAATAATGATTATTACTATCATATTGATTATAATGCCGATGTTAAATTTATTGAAAGATATACAAAGTATTGGATTAATGTTTCAGCAACTGATGGAATAACTACAACTCCGATTTGGAGAGATTATATTAACATTTATCCAATAGCACGCTTTAATTCATTGGGTTTATCTAAGTCAGAAGTATCTTTTGGAGAATCAATTGATATAGTAGCAAACATTTCTCTATCAATATCAGGCACAGATATTTACTATACATTTGACAATGACACAGATTCACGCCAATCATTTTATGTATCAATGAATAGCTATTCTTCGACTTTCACACGAACAATTTCTCTTAGTCAATTTTACTATAGTGGCATTCACAATATTACAATATCTAATGGATATGGAGTTTATCAAGATGAACAAGTTTTTAATTTTACAATATTAGAAAATCATGCTCCATATATCAAAGTTACTCCGAAATACACAGGCGAAAAATTCTATATGAGTAATTCTTCTGCAAAATATCAGATACAATGTACAGATTTCAACTTAGATCAAGAGAATAGTATATATGCCGTAGCCGACAGAAATCTTCCTGAATTAGTAGCAACTATTACTCCTAATAGAACATTTATTAATGCTGACTATCAATACTATTATCCAATGGTTAGTGCACATCATGTAATAAAGTTCTATACAATTGATACAGCTGGTGCACAGTCAAGCATTTTGACATATGAGTTCGATGTTGATGTAAATCCAAGTGTCTGTGTTGTGAATTTCCCTGACAAACAGTACTACGAAGTCAATTCATATTTCTTAGTTGATCTCTATTTCTATAACTTCAATCCAGGTTCGGTTGTTAATCCAATATATATACTTGAAGATAGAATTGAACTTCCTGAAAATATCACAATTTACGATAATTTCTCATCTGAAATTATATCAATAAATATTTCTACATATGTTGATGGCGTATATCGTCATTGGATTGACATATTTGGAAAAGATAATACTGGAGTTGAATCAAGTAGAGCTTCTTATTATATATTAGTCAGTAGTAAGCCAGAAATTAGGTATATTGAACCATTAAAAGAAGAATACAGTGTTGGTGAAACAATTGCATTTAATATTTTCTTTATGGGAACAAGTTATAGTTTTCTTTATTATAAATATGATGACCAATCATGGCAAAAAATTAATTATGAAGAATATTCAGATAGAAAGTTTGTTTGGATGAATCGAACATTATCAGCAAGAAATGTTAAAAGAGTATATAACATTTCATTAAAAATAGTTGATTACTATAATATTGAATCTGATATATACAATTTTAGTTTCCGTGTAAACGAAAGACACGCTCCAGCATTAACTGTTAGAACAATTGATAATAATATGTACTTAAATCTCTATCAAGACATCAGCTTCATATGCACAATTAATGATCTTGATGTTGGAAATAGCGTTGATTTACAACTTAGAATTGATGACTCTGAATTTTCTTCAATATACAATTTTGTTTCTGATGGAAGTGAAAAGGTTTTTGTTTATAATTATTCAGGACCAAAGAAAATAGGTTCTACAAAATTCACATTTAAAGCCATTGATAACACAGAACTATCAATAATTACTGAGAAAGAACTTAGATTGTCTAGAAGACTTGGTTTTGCATATACAAAATTATTCAATAAAGATAAATTTGAAGGAGGCGAAACAATAACTTTCACAGGATTTGTCAAGGATTATGACATAAACTCAAATGTTAGTGTTTACTATAGAATTAATAGCGGAAATTATATCCAATTATCCGATTTTCTCGTCATCGGCAGTAATTATAGGTCCCAAAATATAACGTTTAATATCACAATTCCAAATATCTACGGTAATAACTATATAGATTTCTATACTTTGAAGCAAGATGAAGAGACATTCAAATCAGACTATAATTCATTTAGTTTCCATGTAAACAAAGCCCCAATACTTCTTGATTGGGCTTCATTTGACAATCCATATTTCAAGAATTCATATATTGTAATTAATGCTACAGTTTATGATGATTATGCTGTATATTTGCTTTATAAATTTAACTCTGGATCATTTACCGAAGGAAGTGAAACATTTTATTTGAATGGAAAACCAAACATAACAGCTTCATATGTTATCCCATTACCAACAAATCTTGTTCAAGGAACTAATACTATATCTATTTATTTCCGAGATGATTATCAAATAGCAACTGAAACAAGGACAAAAGAATTCACTTATGATACAAGATCTGCTCCAGTAATTGAGGTTTATAATGAAAAGACATCAAACTATATGTTTTATGAAAATGTGACATTGAATGTTTCAGTAATTGACGAAATAGCTGAAAATATAATCAATGTTTCACTCTTCCTAGATAATGCAAATCCATTACAAATATACTCAGTAAAATCTGATGGAGTTAAACACAATTTCATTTATACTGCGCCTGTTCCATTAAGAAATGGGAACCATTATTATATATTCTCAGCAGTTAGTAGTATTGGCGCTGTATCTGTAAATGTTACTAACAGTATTTATGTGGAAAGGCATGATTCTTTAATTATTACAAAACCACCTGAAAAACATTATGTACCTGGCTCCGTTGTTAAAATTGAAGGATTTGCAGTTGATCTTTATCCAGGAACATATTTCCAAATTAACATTCAAACCAGTCTCGATTATAGAAGGAAAGCTGTTACTGATACTATGGTTATCAATGACAGATATAGGTCAGATAATTTCAATTTCTCTATTATATTGCCATCATACTCTTGCAAGTATACTTTTTGGGTTTATGCTTTAACCACAGGAAACTCCGATAGTTATTCAAATACATATGAAATTTATGTGGATAAACCCCCAGTAATTAATGATTGGATTAATTTCAAAGAACAATATGCTTTAGGAGAGTATATTAATCTTGAACTAATAGTAACAGATGATACTCGTGCAAAAGTCAGATATTGCTATGACGCATCTACTTTCCGAGACAGATATTGCTATCTTACTGATTACATAAACATGAATTTCACTGTGCCTCACGAAATCCAAGCACAGGCAAGAATTCCTGACGAACTTGATTTTATTGAACATACAATGAGTATCCAAATTATAGATGAGTATCAATCCCCATCGAATATTCTTGAGAAGAACTTCACATTAACAAGATCACATGCTCCAACTCTGAAGGTTACTCCTCTTGCAAAGAAGCTGTATCATTTCTCAGAGAAAATTTACATCACAGGAAAAGTCCAAGATATCGATATAGGAGATATCATATTTATTCACTACAAAGTTGATGATAACCAATATTCGGAACTTGCTCATTTCCCTGGTAACACACTTCAGCAGGATTTCTCCGGATTTGTTAAAGTTCCACTATCAAATGGTAAACACTCAATTAGTATTAAAGCGTTTGATCAAACATCATCTACATCAAGCGTTATTAGGTATGAATTTGATGTCAGGAGAGAGCCAGGTATTGATGTTGTTTCTCCATACAAACAGTATTACGAACCAAACGAAACAGTAACAATTCAAGCTATTGTTTATGATCATATTGAAGGATACCCAATCAAAGTTTACTATAACTTTGACAATGAAAACAAACAATTTGCAGCAGAAACAACAATCACAGAAACGATGAATTCTACTGTTTTCACGTTTGAAATTACAATTCCAGACTCGTTGAACGATCACTATTTAATCATATTTGGCAAGGATAGTCAAGGTGCATTAACAACAAACACCTACAGCCACTATATCGAAGTTAATGCTCCACCAGTTCTTATTCTCAACAAGATGATTGACGACTATTATTACAAGCCTGCATCAATCGAGATCAATCTTGGAATATATGACAACAAAGTGGCAACTATTTACTTGACAACTGACACACAAAGTGATGTTGCAATATTCAACAATATTGAATCATATGGACGCGTCATTAATAAAGTATATTATTACACAATTGATTCCAATGAAGATAAGACATTTGAATTGAAAGTTTATTCCAAAGATAAATTTAATGCAATATCTAATATGATTACAAAGACGATTCATTACAGCTCATCGAAGTCAACACCAGTTTTAACAGTTGTAAGTCATATCCAAGATGGATTGTCATCAAACGAAGCAAAAAGATTCAGTGATATGCTCAAGCTGACGGCCAAAGTAATGGACAGTAATGCTGATAACCAAGTTCAACTACTTTACAAGTTTGATAATGAAGAGACATTTACAAGCTATGCAAATTATGTTTCAGACGGAACTGAAAAAACATTCGAAGTTGAAATTCCATGCATCAAAGTCAATGGTGCTCACAATATCACTTTGATTGCATTGAACTCAGAAGGCGTATACTCAAGACCATACACATTCGAATTCGGTGTCTATCAATCTCCTGCAATGTTGTTTAGAACTCCACCATCCACAAATTACAAAGTTAATGACACTATAACAATTGTTGGTTATGGTGCTGATTTCTATATTGGAACAAACCTCGATGTCTACTTCAAATATGACAACAAGCCTACAGAACTAATTGGAACAGTTACAATTGGTAATAATTACATCTCAAATGATTTCACTGTATTTATTAATAATTCAGGAAGTTCTAGGAATGTTCCATATGAGATTTACTTCCAGATTGAAAACAAAATATATTCTAAGATTTCATCATATTTTATCATCAATGCTCCGCCAGTGATTACATTGATCAATACACTACACAATATATATTACATGAATGATCACATTGATATTGACTATAAAGTTTTTGATGATGGATGGGCATCTATCTACTACAAGTTTGACGAATATCAAGAAACATCTATATCAAAGAATCTGATATTCAATGGAAATGCATATGTTTTCCAAGGACAAATTCCATTAGGAAGACTATTATTAGAGGGACCTCATACTCTCAAGTTGTATGCAGTTGATAAATTCTCTCTTAAATCGAACGTGATTGAGCACCCATTCACAGTCTCAAATTCAAACACAGCCCCAGAAATCATCGTTGACAGCTATGATGAAAAGCTGATTCATCGTTGGTATGAATCATTAACAATCAAACTGAGAGTTCGTAAATCAGGAGGCGGAACTGTTGTATTCATGAGAAGATTCAACTACTCAAATCAATTCGAAGAAATTGATAGAGTTGAATCAACAGAAGAATACAAATCATATACCTTAACTGTCAAACTTCCACGTGTTGATGGTGTTGTGGATATGATTGTTGAAGCACGCGATTTAGTTGGAGGAACATCCTCATTCATCAAAAGCACATTCAGGATGAAGCGCGAGAGGAGCATCATAGAGAACACTTACAGCGGAGGAATCAGACCTGGAGATGTTGTTCAAATCCGAGGCATGGCAGTTGATTTCGATAATGGAACAGCTCTTAAGATCAACTACAAATACCAAGCAAACTCATTCATCAGAACACTAAATGAAGATCAAGAGATTGGTGAATTTGTTGTTTCAGAAAACATGACGACTCCTCCATTTGAGTTTTCCATTTCAGTACCAGAACGAGTTACAAGTCAGACATTTAATGTTTGGGCAAAACAAGGCTCGGAAATTGTTGCCCAATTCGACAACGGATATAATGTCTTGAACATGCGTCCAGAAATAGTTCTTCTTAGACAAATAAAGGATCAATACCCTGAAGATGGCTTCATTGATATCGATTTCTTGATTAAAGATGATACTAAAGCAAAAATTATATATAGATTCGACGGTGGAGTAGATAAGTATTTGACAGACTTCTATGAGTGCAACAACACTCAAAAGTATGTTAATTTCACGCAGATCAGCCTTAATGCAAGCAAGTTATCAGTAGGTCAACATACTTTATCTCTATTCGCAAGAGATGAGCTTGGATCAGAATCCATTTTAATTGATCGTATTTTCTCAATTGCTCAAGAGCATGCACCAGTCATGGAGATTCTCGAAACAACAAAACTTGATAACTACACATCATATGATCTCATCACACTGCATGGAAGAGTTAAAGATGAATCTGTTGGAAAGAAGATCGTCGTTAAGTACCAACTCAACGGCGAAGGATACAAGGAAATCTACAGTACAACATCAACTGGTGACTGGCAATACTTCACTTATTCATTCACAGCGCCTAAATCAGATGGACTTTACATCGCCACATTCCAAGCAGAAAACTACAAGTATTATGGATCCACAATCTATCAGAAAGAGCTCCATACAACAACAAAAGTTCAAACTAGGTATCTCCCAGCACTCCAACCAACTTATCCAAACAGTGGATCAGGAGGAGGAACTGGAGTTGGAATTTCTCCGATTAACTACGTTCCAGATGGCTACACATTGGAGAAATTCATTGAGAAACAGTTCTCATATACAAACAAAAGATATAATATCGGATTCTTGGTGAAAGAAGGAACAACATTCTACATTGACATCACAACAATTCCATCTGGTGTCAGTTTGGTTGACTACATCAAAGAAAAGGTTTCAGACTTCAATGGAGGAAATGTCACCTTCACGCTTCTGGATGAAAACAACAGCACAGTTGCAAAGTTCGTCCAGCCAATTGTCTTCAATCAGCCACCGACATTCGAACACTTGAATAAAGATGAGTTCCCTAAAAAAGTATACGGTCACACGTTCATCAGCTTGGATATAAACATCTTCGATGATTCTAAAGCCAAGATGATTTACAAGATTGATGACGGTGAATATATGAATCTGAGCAACTACCTTGCACTTTACAATCGTTCGCAGTACATACACACACAGATTGAGATCAAACCGAACACTCTTTCACTGACAAGTCACAATATTATATTAGCAGCTATTGATGAGTACGGTATTATGTCGAATGTAAGCGAATATAGTTTCTTCTACTACAAATTGAACACTCCAACCATTGAAGAAATCACAATTAAATTCCCAACTATCAATGGCACAGGTAGTGTTAGTGGTGGAAACAATGGAGGATCTGGCAGTGGCAGTGGTTCAGGTTCTGGAACAGGAAGCGGAGATGGATCAGGCTCGGGTTCTGGATCAGGAAGTGGATCTGGATCAGGAACAGGAAGTGGATCTGGATCTGGATCAGGAACAGGAAGTGGATCTGGTTCTGGATCAGGAACAGGAAGTGGATCTGGTTCTGGATCAGGAACAGGAAGTGGATCTGGTTCTGGATCAGGAACAGGAAGCGGAGATGGATCTGGATCAGGAACAGGAAGTGGATCTGGTTCTGGATCAGGAACAGGAAGCGGAGATGGATCTGGATCAGGAACAGGAAGTGGATCTGGTTCTGGATCAGGAACAGGAAGCGGAGATGGATCTGGATCAGGAACAGGAAGCGGAGATGGATCTGGATCAGGAACAGGAAGTGGAGATGGATCTGGCTCTGGTTCAGGAACAGGAACAGGAAGCGGAGATGGATCTGGTTCTGGAACAGGAAGTGGAGATGGATCTGGTTCTGGATCAGGAACAGGAAGTGGCTCTGGTTCTGGAACAGGAAGCGGAGATGGATCTGGCTCTGGTTCTGGAACAGGAAGTGGAGATGGATCTGGCTCTGGTTCTGGAACAGGAAGTGGAGATGGATCTGGTTCTGGAAGTGGATCTGGTACTAGTGGTGGCTCTGGAACTGGAGGTTCGAATGTTCAAACACTTCCGATAATTACACCAGGTGCGAATATCTCAATTAACGGTCATTTCAATGATCAAGATTATGATGAAAATACAACTGTTTCTGTGAAGAAGAATACCGATGAATTTGAAGTTTATCATGAATGTCCAGTCAGTGCACGTCCAGAATGTTTCTCATTCGACTTCAATTACTCTGTTGGTGACAAATGTGGTGAAAACGTCATCTATGTTCAGATCCGTGATAGCCGAGGTGCAACATCTAAAGAATTTACATTCCGCTACTTTATTGACTGCGGCGATGATAATGATGGCAGCAATGGTAATGACAATGGTAATGGCAACGGAGGTGGAAATGAAGGCGGAAATGGAGGTGGAAGCAGCAGCCTTCCAAGAAGATCTCCTGCTCGTTCACCTGTCCCTCCATATCCAATTCCAACAATGCTACCACACGACTATACAGGAAGATATACTACAACATACATCAACACATATTTGCCGACAGTTACATTTGACGAAAATGGTTACTCATATATTATCTACTACATGACAACGACCGAGTACAACATCACATTAATTGATGCACCGAACGAGAGTGTTGCTATTGGTTTCTTGCAGACAACATTTGGCAAGTATGCCCTATGGCCACTTATTGCAATCATCACTATTGGCATCACAGCCGGTGTCATCATTTTCATCATCTATCTGAAGAGGAAACAAGAAAAGTCAGAGAGCGAAACAGAAAACATTGAGATGGAAGCTGAAACTGTTCAAATTTTCAGCACTACTAATACAGAGACCACAAACGATAATCCTCTTTTCACTGTATCAATGACACAAAAGGATGAAGACGACTTATTCAAAGCAGACTTCGAAGACAGTGACGATAAATTTGTCAATGACGAGAACGCTACACAGCGCGATAATAATGATATCGGAAATGAAGACAACGAAGATCAAGACGAAGTTGTTGAACTAGAAATTCTTTGAATTTAATTGAATAAATTTTTATTTTTAATTCGGAATTTTAAAAATCATTTAATCAATTATTTTTAAATTTTATTCTTCGATATATGTCCGATTATACTTACATCGTCATCATCATCGTGGTACGAAACGAAATCTTCATTTTCCTTGTTTTGGTTAAATTCTGTCAAATCGCCGATCAAGTCAAATCTGTTTATAGCCAAACAAGGCGGATCTCCTGGGCATGGCTCATTCTGGATGATTCTGACATATTTAGCTTCATAGGTACCATCTAAGTTGTACGTCTTTTCATTGCATCGGCGCATGTTTCTGTCTTTTTCGATTCTGTGAACTTCTTTCCATGTTTTGTTATCGTCTGATATCTGGAGGGACCAGGAGTACAGACAGCAGTTAACACAGTATCTGGAATAATCTTCTTCGCAGCAGCAACGTCCGTAGCAGCACCCTGCACGTATGAAATAACTGTTGAATTTAAAATTCTGATCTTTGATTGAAAAAGAAATATATGGATGTTCACTATAGGAATGTCCACAATTTGAACACCAGTCATAATCCTTATTCCAAGGATAAATCGCGTATTCTGGCTTTGTTAATTGCATAGTCCCATTAATATTCTGTCTTGATGAGCCCGAAACATCATAAACAATTGTTTTCTTGTTATATACTTTGCTAAAGATACCATTGATCTCATTACTAAATGAATTACGAACAAATATGGAAAAAATCATTTTTGTCACTTTTTTGCTAAAAAAATGCTGTTTATTCCATTAGTGAGTTGTAGCCCTAAAGGTACGTTTTATTATGTTTTTGATGACAAAATAGTTAATGTAGAAGCATCAGGCTCATCTAAACAGTATCATAATGGATCTTCTCAATATATGAAACCGGAATATTCCATTTATCCATGGGATAAGCATTATGATTGGTGTTCTAATTGCGAGGAAACATATGATATTCATCCATGGATTACATTTTCGTTGCAAACCAAGAAACTCAAATTCGATAGTTATTTTATTCGTGCAGGCTGCTGTCGCGAGGATTGCTGTTGTGAAAATGAAATTCATGGCTACTGTGTTGAATGTTGTTTGTACTCTTGGTCTCTACAGATCTCAAATGACAATGAAACTTGGGCCGAAATCCACAAAGTCGTGAAAGACGAAGAATTAAGGAGATGCAATGAAAAGACATACAAATTGGATAGAATGTATGAAGCAAAATTCGTAAGGCTAATACAGAATGAAGCTTGCCCTGAAGATCCCCCATGCATTGCCATCAACAAATTTGAGTTTATTGGAGAGCGTTTTGATGATCAAATGGACCCACTCGAAAAGAGATTTATCGGGAAAGAAGAAGACAATGAAGATATAAGTATAATTGGCCAAATATCAAGAAATGGAATTGTGAAAATAAATTAATCTCTTAAATTGTTCATACTTTACATAAGTTCATTTGTTTATTAAATATTTATCCATTTTTTTTCAATATGCTTATTTTTTACAATAGATTTATTAAAAATGACTAAAATATGATTTTTTTATAAGAAATTCTCCATTTAAGCCGTAAATCTATAAATTTTAAAAATTTATATTAAATCATTAGTAGAAATTATCAAAATTAAAACTAAGTTGTGTTAACCTATTCCAATTACACTCTTGCATTCTTAGAAATATGTCCTATAATGCTTACATCATCTTCATCGTCATCATGGTAAGAAACGAAGTTGTCATCGATAGAACTATCATCTATTACATCTCCAAACAGTTCCATTCTGTTAATGGCGATGCAAGGAGGATCTCCTGGGCAGGCTTCATTTTGTATCAACCTTACGTATTTAGCTTCGTAACTTTTGTCTAGATTATATGTTTTCTCTTTGCAAATTCTCATTTCTTTGTCTTTCATTTTGTGAACTTCGGTCCAAGTTTTATTATCATTAGAAATCTGCAGAGACCAAGAATATAAACAGCAATCAAAGCAATAGTCGGACTCTTCACAGCAGCAGCCCTCGTAGCAACAACCACATCTAATAAAATAACTATTAAATCTTATTTTCTTCGATTTGATCGAAAATCCGATCCATGGATGATCGTCATAATTGACACCACAATTTGAGCACCAGTCGTAGCGCTTGTTCCATGGGCTGATTGCATATTCTGGTTTTGTAACTTGTTTCGAGCCGTTTATATATTGTTTTGATGAACCACTGACAAACAAATCGATTGTTTTCTTATCGTATTCCTGCTTAAATATTCCATTTAGATCCGCTTCACTCGTAGAAAAAATTGTAATGAAACAAATCATTTTTGAAAAAGTGACATTCAATAAGAAGTAGAAGGAATCAACATAAACCTTGATTTAAAGTGATTTTATTCACTTATTATAGGCAAGTCTTTTGTTAGAAGTCCATAATATTATAAAAAAATCATCTAAGATTGTGATTACCCTCTTTTTTTGGGTATATGAAAAGACAAAAAGAAAAGTCAATAAATTTATTAAGTTATTTTTATATATGTGATTCAATGATCCTACAATGGTATTGAAAAGGAATAAAATTTGTTTAATTATATTTCGGATTGGAATTCTTCGAAATATGTCCAATAATGCTCACATCTTCATAAACATCGTGGAAAGAAACAAAGTTGTCATCTTCTTCTTGCCTCATATTATCATCAATCACATCTCCGAAAATCTCAAATTTATTAATAGAAATGCAAGGCTTATATCCTGGGCATGCTTCATTCTGTGTCACTCTGACATATTTCGCTTCGTACGATTTATCTAAATTGTATGTTTTCTCATTGCAAATTCTCATTGAATCGTCTTTGATTTTGTGTATTTCCGTCCAAGTTTTGTTGTCATCGGAAATCAGTACGGACCATGAGTATAGACAGCAATCAAAGCAGTATCCGCTTTCTTCACAGCAGCAGCCTGCATCGTAGCAACATCCACAGCGAAGGAAATACGAGTTAAATTTGAAATTCTTTTTTGCAACGGAGAATGTTATGTATGGATGCTCATCCTGCTTTTTAGCACAATTTGAGCACCAATCGTAGGTTTTGTCCCATGGATAAATCGCATATTCTGGTTTTGTTGTTTGCTTAGTGCCATTTATGTATTGTTGTGATGATCCACTAACATCAAAGATGATATTATGCTTAGAATAAATTTTTTTGAATATTCCATCTTTATTTGCAGAACTTTGTGTGAAAGAAAATAAGAAAGAAATCATCTGCAAAAGTGACAGTTCTTTTGTTTTACAAATTGGCAAAAATTTTCATTGAAAATTTGTCATTAATGAAAACTCAGGTTCATATTCATTGTGCGTCAGGACGATGTTTAGACAAAGAGCCAAGCATGATACTAGCAGTAGGAAAAACGAGATATATCATAGAAGCCCCGGATAACCTTTCAAGAAATTTTTTATCAAATTACTTTAAACCAGATGATGTAGCTGCCATATTCACCACTAGATTATTTCCATATTCAGTTGGTATTTCTTCATTCTCTGATGTTATTCAGAAGAAAGTCCCAATTATTGGTCCATCTGAGCTAAATAACATGTCTAGTCTATTAGGAGAGAGCTATGGCATGTTGAAAAACTCATATGAAGATCAAAAAATAAATGTTCAAGTATTAAAACTTTCAAAATCTCTTAGTTTCATAGTAAATATTAAAGAAATACCTGGGGGATTTTGCTATGAAATGGCAAAGTCACTCGGTGTAGCCGATGAAACACAAATTAAAAAGCTCTCAAAGAGAGAAACTGTAATTTTACCAGATGGAACTGAAATAACACCAGAAATGGTATTCAAACCCAATATAAATACATTTAAAATACTAATCCTTGATATAACACAACTAGAAGATCTACAATTATTACCAAATCTTTCAGATTTTGAAACAATTATCCATTTTACAGATCCTTCCATTATGATCTTAGATGAATACAAAAGTAGATTCCAACACAGAACAAATATTTGCTTTTTCAACACGCAATACTATTATTACAAGTCAGACTTATTTTATGAGCGATTTGCAACTAGTATCGGATTTGATCCATTATGTATAGAGACTAATGATGATGTTCCAGAAGGTTTTATTAATCTTAAATCGAAAGAAAGTTATATTTTGATTCCCAAATCAAAATCTCCTTTAAGCGAGATAAAAGACTATCAAAAACCAACTGAAATTGAAGGGAAATTGCCACAATGCAATTCGATAACAATTCTTGGTTCTTTTTCAAAATCTCCAAACAGTTTTAGATGTGTATCTGGTTATTTGTTATCAACACCATACGGATTTGTCTTGTTTGACTGTGGTTGTGGAACCCTGCTCCAAATTTACAGAAAATTTGGTCATAAAATCGGAAATGAAATTTTATCTCAGTTGAAAGTCATATCAATCTCCCACTCACATCCTGATCATATATTAGGCCTTCCAAACCTCCTCATTACTCGCACAAAAGTTTCAAACGAAAAATTAATTTTATTTGCGCCAAAAGAAGTCAAAAAGATGATATATGAGATTAATTCTAATATAACTAATACAAATGTTGATTTTCTCCCATATTCATCAACAAAAATTTTTAATATTAATTTTGATTTTCAAGAAGTGACTCATCGAGTACAATGCTATGCAACGAAAGCCTCATACGATGATTTTTCATTTATATTTAGTGGAGATCGTGATTCAAATGGTCTTAAAATCGATAAACTTGGTCCATGCGACATTTTACTCCACGAGTGTACATTTTTAGATAAAGAAAAAGACAAAGCAGATTTTTATATCCATTCCTGCTTGAGCAATGTCTTGAATGAGGGAAAAAACGTTGGAGCGAGAAATTTGTTATTAACTCACTTCTCTCAAAGATATAGTACTAATTTATTGAAGACTGATGACAAAGATACGCTTTTTGTTATTGACTTCCTGACAATCCCTTTGAAAATAAGTGATGAAGATTTCGAAAGGATCAAAAATGCAATTAGCAATACTGAATTGTAAGGTATAGTTAGAAATTTTGTAAAAAACTGAGTTGTTATTGTTTGCTTTTATTTTTTTTTTTTGTAGTAAATTATTTCAATATTGAAAACATTATTTATTTTCAGTATCCTTTCAAAAAAAAAAAAAAAAAAAAAAAAAAAAAAAAAAAAAAGGGAGTGGGGCTTCCAGGCACTTCGTGCCTTCTAGCCCTGAGGATGAATGAGTATAAATGAAGTCTTGACAAAGTCTTTACGAAGAAGTCTTGACAAAGTCTTTACGATGAAATCTCAACAAAATATTTATGAAGAAGTCTTGACAAAATATTTATGAAGAAGTCTTGACAAAGTCTTTACGAAGAAGTCTTAACAAAACATTTACGAAGAAGTCTTGACAAAGTCTTTACGAAGAAGTCTTGACAAAGTCTTTACGATGAAGTCTTTACGAAGAAGTCTTGACAAAGTCTTTATGAAGAAGTCTTGACAAAGTCTTTATGAAGAAGTCTTGACAAAATATTTACGATGAAATCTCAACAAAACATTTACGATGAAGTCTTGACAAAGTCTTTACGAAGAAGTCTTGACAAAGTCTTTACGAAGAAGTCTTGACAAAGTCTTTACGATGAAGTCTTGACAAAGTCTTTACGAAGAAATCTCAACAAAGTCTTTACGATGAAATCTCAACAAAACATAGAAAGTTCATGAGTGTAAATGACCCAAAATATATTTTAGGGTAGAAGGGTATATCTACCCCGTTTTCTACCCTCTTTTCTACCCTCGTGAATTTTCATGAAATTTATACAGAATTCAATAAAAATATATTTTAGGTGAAGAGGTGAGATTTCACCTGTTTTTTCACCTAATTTTTCACCCTCTTGAATTTTCATGAATTTTACACCAAAAATATACTACTAGGGTCATTTATGAAGAAATCTCAACAAAGTCTTTACGATGAAATCTTGACAAAACATAGACAAGAAAGTTCATGAGTGTAAATGACCCAAAAATATATTTTAGGGTAGAAGGGTATATCTACCCCGTTTTCTACCCTCTTTTCTACCCTCTTGAATTTTCATGAAATTTACACCAAAAATATACTACTAGGGTCATTTACGAAGAAATCTCAACAAAGTCTTTACGATGAAGTCTTGACAAAGTCTTTACGAAGAAGTCTCAACAAAGTCTTTACGAAGAAGTCTTAACAAAGTCTTTACGAAGAAGTCTTAACAAAGTCTTTACGAAGAAATTCATGAAAATTCAAGAGGGTAGAAAAGAGGGTAGAAAACGGGGTAGATATACCCTTCTACCCTAAAATATATTTTTGGGTCATTTACACTCATTTACGAAGAAGTCTTAACAAAGTCTTTACGAAGAAGTCACAATAAAACATCTGTCAAAAACCGCTTTTCTGTCACTTTTCAGGAAAAAACATTTTTATTATTATATATAAATGAATTTTACAAAACCACCGTTACCCTTCTTTGGAAATAAGAGTAGATGTAAAGATATTCTATTGAGAGAACTTAAGAAACTACCGAATGGTCTAACATTTGTAGATTTGTTTCGTGGAAGTTTCTATATATCCCATTTGTGCCATACAATATTCCCAGACTCAAAGATTATATGCAATGACTTCGACAACTATATGGACCGTCTCAAACATATACCAGACACAAACAAAATATTGAAAGAGTTAAAAGAAAAGATACCTATAGGTAAGATGGAACGTATACCATTAGATAAGAAAAATATTGTCAGAGAGGTTTTGAAAAAAGCAGAGTATATTGACTGGGATAGTATATCTTCTAGACTATTGTATAGTGGTTCTATAAGAGTTCATGACATTGAAACACTTATGTCAAACGTTTTATATCTTAACTATACAAATGTTTTCAAAGAGAACATAGAAAAATATACTGAGGGTATAGAGTTTGTGAGATGTCATTGGACAGAGTTGTATGAAAAATATAAAAACAAGGAAAATGTTTTCTTTATAGTGGACCCGCCGTTCTATAACACATACGATTTTCAATACCAAGTAGACTGGACTTTGAGAGACTCTTTAGAAACTTTAGACGTTTTACATAACCATCCATGCTTTTACTTTACATCCGATAAAAGTGGTTTGGAAAGTGTCATGAGATGGTTAGAGGACATACATGACTATGAGTTTAGATACGACAAGATAGAATATGAGAGAGGTCCTATAAACCGGAAAAAGTGTCATAACAAAGAAATTTTATTGGTAAGTAAATGTGGTTTGAAATAGGACTACTTGTTTTAGGTTTTTTCCATTGTGTCATTTACTTATTTGACGTGGCAGAAAGATATAGAGAATATGAAGATGAACCAATGCCTGCAAATGTCCAGTATATGTACTCGTAAGAGATATTTTTATCTAATATTAAATGGACGCACAGAACTTAGCGAATGCACAGCAACCTGGACAACCAAACCCAGAGAATATTCCAAATGAAGTTAGAATACAAATGCAATGGCAAACTATGGTCAAGTGCCAACAGATGTACAAATGCAAACTGCCATGTCAAATGACGCTGCGTTAGGCTTACCACCATGGTATGCAAATATGAGATGGAAAGAGTTTTATACAAACCCTGAAGTGGGATATAAACAACTCTATGCAGATGACGCGAACACAGGAGTTGACCCAGAGTATGTTTTCTACCAGAGGAGAAATAGAATGTATGAGCTCCAGTTAAAGAATGCTATGGAACTCAACAGGAAACGTAAGAGACTAGGTGGACATTAGATTTTTACATATAGTAAAATGGGTTTCTTCAGTAAGATAGGAAACTTCTTTCGAAATGTTGGAAGAGGTATATGGAATGGAATAAAATCTGTCGGAAGAGGAATTTGGAACGGTGTCAAAAATATTGGTAAAAGGGTAGGTCAGTTTGTTGGTATTATACCTAAAGACCCTGAACCAGAAGAACAAGCTCCTGTTATACAACAGCCTGAACCTGCACCACAGTCTAGTTGGCAACCAAATCCAACACCTCAACCGTATTAAAAAATTATATTTTTACCGTTCGATAGTAGTTGTATATGAAACTAAGTTCTAAGTAAAACGCATGGTATAATGGAATTATTCTTTTTCTTCCATCTGTAGTAAACCATACTTGAAAGTCTGAAATACTTCCACTTGGTGGTTCGTATAACTTTGTAGGTTTTTCGTAAAAGTCATTTGCCAAGCATAAGAAAGAGTTTTGAGCGCCAGAAAATGAAGCATGAACAATAATAGCAGCTGGGTCGAAAACATCTTTAAATAAATATGGTTCATCTCTTGCATATCGACTGTAAATATTTGCTAAAGGAAGTTTGACTTTCTGATTTAACATTCTTTCAAATAATACCATGACATTGCAGTGAATTCTGTATATATTTGTTCGTCTTTCTTTGGATTGTCTTCGTAGATTTGAAATGACACTTGTGAATTTTGTTTGTCATATACAATTCTCACATAAAGTGTGCTCTCGGTATTTGCATATTCATCAGCATATTTTGCATAACATGAATTTATTTTATCTTCTATATTTTTTAACGCAGTCTGTAGAGAAGATGAAAGGTCAACTTGTATTAGCTCAATTTCTTCCCACATTTTTCGTTTCCCTTCAGATATATAATCTATATGAAACCTTACAATAAATGGAAAACTTTTATCTTCTACAGACACAAACTTCATTCTACGAAAGCCAATAGCTTTTGTGACAGATGGGTCTCTTAGCCATCTTAATGGGTAGTCAAAACGATAGCCTTCATGCTTTACGGTCTCTGTCTCAAACTTTTGACCGACATTAGTAAAAAGTTCATCTAATGGTTTAGTTGTAGCAACTCTTGAATTTTTTTTTCTATTGGAAGCATATTTTATCTAGAATAAAAATGTCAAATGAAACAGCGTCCTATGAGAGAAATACAACACAACCGACAACTCATTATACAAGCTCTAAATAAGAACACAACAAACTTTTCAAACTATTCTAAGATATCTGAGTCATTGAAAGAAGGAAACTTAAAACTGACATTAAACCCAATGACAGATGAGTTTCTGTTTCAAGACAATAAGAACCATACTGTCTGTATAAATCCAACAAAAGGAACTTTAAACGAAAACCTATAAATGAACTTCTTTTGAAAGCAGATGTTGGCAAACAAAGCTGACAAAGAATGTAGATGCAACAAGAGACTATATTCTCGCATGGACAGATAGAACATACCCACAAAAAACATCATACACATAACATTCTATGACGTAGATGAACTACCAGCAATGTTAGATGACAAAGCTGACAAAACATATGTTGACAATAAAATGTCAAGTGAAGTGACAAGAGCTGACAAAGAATATTCTAAAAAACTCATACACATACCATTGCAAATATTACAAACTTACGAAAACCTTAAACAAGAAAAGTGACGTTGGACATACACATAGCTTCTTCTCAAATGTTGGTATAGAAAGTATTTTAGGAACGATTGAAGAAACTGGTGGGGGTGGATTATATTTTAAACTCCTAACTTTCCAGAAGGTTTAACATCGGATAAAGACATTAGATGTAGAAATGTCTATGTCATGGAGGATGAAAAAAAAGTTAAATTCACTGCTCAAGATTTATATGATAAAAAAGCTGACAAACAGAGCTTCAAACGTTAAAGACAGAAATACTTCAAACAGTATATCCTATAGGTTCTATTTACACGTCAATGAACTCTACCAAACCAGAAGTAGTACTTGGTTTTGGAACTTGGACTCAAATAGTCGACAGGTTTTTGTATTGTGCAAACTCTTCAAAGGAAACAGGTGGAAGTAAAACGATTTCAGGTGCAAATTTACCTGCGCACAGTCACTACATAAATTTAAGTACATCTGAAGCAGGTTTGCATAGTCATAGATTTTGGGATTGGTCAGGAATGACAAAAGGTAAAGGATATGATGTTAAAGAGGACGTTAAGTTTGCTATAAATTGTTACTGGAGTAACACTGAGGTAGGAGGAAGCCATACACAT